GAGGCAGAGAAACTAGAGGAAACTGCTCCTGAAACATTGCCTAGCGAAACCAAAGTTCCTACTACGTTTTATAAAGTATATAAACTGAACTGCAAAACTTGAATTGTACATAACGAGGGTTTAAGCTAGCACACGATCCACAATCAGGCAGACCTTTAACTTGATGAGTTTAGCACGAGGTATGCAGGGTCAATTGATTCCACGTCCGCGATTCGTTCGTTTGGCGGGCGGTAGCCTCGTTGCGGAGAACACCGGAAATGACAGTCGCCGATTTCTAATTCCATCGCCTTCGATTTTCAAGACGGGAGACAATTGATCGTGACAGCACAATAAAAGAGAAGAACAAAAAAAAATGAAAGGGAAAGAACGATCGGCATACGACACTACCCGCAAAACTACTCGCATGACACCATACATTATACGCGTTCGCGCGTTGACAGTGAACGTTACGATACACGTACCATCGCATCATACATACATACATACATACATACATATATACATACATACACACGCTCATATACACGCACGTACGTTGATACAGAAAACGACACCGGTACCAGTCGAATGGCAATTAAGCACATTAAGTATACAATTAAATTAAGCAGCCGTAGCTTTAGCTTGAATGTTAGCACCTAGAAAACACACGATGTAACATTAAACTAACGTATTTAAAGTGAGAAACGGAGGATGATGAAGATCTTTAGCGGTTAAGCGAAAAAAATACCTGTGTAAAATCTAGTAGGTGTCCACAAGAATAAAATAAAAACATATATTGTGGTACAAATCACACAAATGATCATACCTTCAGGTCCTGTCTGCGTGCTCCGCCGACTCTTGTACAGACGACAACGTTACTCGCGACCGACACTTTTATGTATCGTTTCTATGTATGATTCTTATGTGTAGCGGAATTATACATTATTTACACCGATCACGTTATGAGGAAATTTCTCTGTATTCGTTTTCAATCAAGTACAATATCGAACTTTCCGAAGCTGACTTGCCTGTGTCCTATGTCGCTACAGGAGCTTTCGCATGTACAGGGTGCCCGTAAAGACTTGGTTCACTTTCTTTATAATTTATCGAAAATGAATTGATCAAGGAGAAAATCGTTATTAATTTATTAAAAAATAATTATATAATCTGTCGATACAATAGTATTATTTATAAATTCATCGACTTTACAGACACCCTGCACTTCCTTCTCGAATTCGAACTTAACGATCTAACACTATCGACCGCGCTGGAGATTGCACATTTATTTGGAATTCTCGAGATCTCAATAGAAGAATGTCTCATCATCTCAAAGTTTCGTCGTGTCATTCCCCACCAGTTCGAAGTCAAGTTTTGGTTTAGGAGCCCTTTTGCCTGCCTTCCCACTGTACTCGATAAGACCGTAGCCGATCATTCCTACGCAAAGGAATCCCATGAGGATGTACAACTTCGTTTGCGTGCACAGATAGGGGCTGTACACGTATGTGATCACAGATCCCGTAGACTCCCACAGCCGGAAATTCGAGAACGCAGCTTCTTCCTTGCCAGGAAACAGTATGCCTGATAGGGCTGAAAGTATAAATAAAAGAAATATAAATATCACGCACTGTTGTAGATATTCAGTCACAAATAAAACGTTCAAATTTAGCGCTGGTTTTCATTGTCATCGGTTAATCACTGTATTCTCTACCTTTTCGAGCATTGGTATTCTTTATCGACGGACAGTAACATTTATTCCTGTTGTCGTTAAAGATGGACACTTTAATTTGTTACTGCTGAAATTTAGGGAATTCACGGAACTTGCCTGTTATAGGAATTTTTATTTAGGGAATCGTTAGAACCCTTAGCAATGCAATGCTGTTCCGAACCTTATCGATAACGTTGGTATTTCAACAGGAAATTATATTACCTGCAACACCTGTTGCTGTCTGTAGATCAGTGAAAGTTACTTTCACTATTGCCAATAATACCAGTGTCCCAACAGAAGGTACACTTGTATTGACAGCGGATAAAAAGGGAAATTAAATTATTTTATCATTGGCAGCTTATCGTAAATGTTACTGTTTCAGCTGCTGGTAGTATATTTTAAAAATACGATTTGTGTTTTGATTATGTTGGATGTCTTAATTAAATACAGAAAAGTCTGCGTACAGTTTACTTGGACCAGCCACATGGCATCGCAAAGACCCCATAATCCGGACATCAGGAAGAACATCGAGCTCTGGTCAGGTGTGGGCCTCCAGCGCAACAGGAAGGCCAGAATTCCCATGTGAAGACAGAAGGCGAATACCATTAGTGCCCTCCTTCCTGTTAATTTCATTATGGACCCGGCTGCCAGCGCAGCTATGGCATTCGTAACACCGAAACAGATCATCACGTAACCAATGTTGCTGATCCCCCAGGCGCAGGACACAAACGACTGGAACAATGTAAGTTATTCAGTGAATTATACCGTAAACCCTTGAAGTCACTTGTCAATCTCAGTCTAAGTATATAATAATCTCTATTTCTATCCAGAATCAATATATTTCTAGACAATTACCAAAGGAATAGCTTAGAATATGAAAATTTATTATACAATCTGCTTAATCTTTTCTGAATTGTTTCTCACTGCTATTCTTATCGCGTGTGAAATTCACGTTTGATTATAGGTATAAATTTCGCAAATTAAACGGAAATTAAAATTCTCGTAATGCACGAGTTTATAGTAGGCGAGTTTTCTGGTATTCCAATTTTAATTGTATTTTAACTCGAAAGAACGCTCCTGTGACTTTTATTTCTTTAGAATGGATTCTGAAACGTGGTCGTTCCGATCGGCCACTAGTCCCGGAGATAAACAATTTCATGGAAACGGCAAAGAGAACGGATTGAAGCTACTAACAGCATTGTAATCGGCGAACAGAAACGCCTGTTCAGCTCCGATGAACATGATAATTGGCAGTATCAGGATCTGACTCTTTTCCTTCAACAGTTTCAACGTCACGGCCAGCAGTTTAATGCCCGACAATCCTGTCGCTGAACCAGATCTGCCTCTATTGTACCTGGAACACACGCCACAAGAGGATGTAGCACAAGATCATGACGCATACATGCACGGGGCAGTCTCGATTAATCGACGGAATTATCTGTCGCGATTCTTCATACGACGGACAATATTGTGCCCCCGTTGCGGATTAATCCGCTATTGATCCCTCGTTTCGCGAACACATTCGGCTCTTCGCGGAGGATTTATGATACGCGGCGCAATGCGTTTCTCTACGCTCGCAAATCGATCGGCGAGCGACTTTTTCCCCGGGGTTCATATGTCTCGACTTAACCGATCGGCGATGAACACGGTGTATACACTCTTGTCCATTAGTTCAAGCTTAGTTGAATATTTTTAGGAGAAAATTAATTAATCAGAAAAAAGGAAAGTATTAGAAAAGTTGTTATAGTTATAGGGACAAATAATTATGATTAGAGTTAGAATGATAAATTTTAATGCACTGTTATCCACAAGTTCAAGCTTAGTTGAATATTTTTAGGAGAAAATTAATTAATCAGAAAAAAGGGAAGTATTAGAAAAGTTTTTATAGTTATAGGGACAAATAATTAGAATTAGAATTAGAATGATAAATTGTAATGCACTGAAACGCAAAGATATTTCATCAGATTTCTAAGTTTCTATCAAAAAGCATTAATGAAGTTTATACTGTGTTTTCAGCAGAAGATATTTAGAAATCAAACAGACACATTCCTCTTTTATCCTAGTATTTATAGTCCAACCTAGAGGATGAAAGTTTTTATTGATAAAAAGTGGGACACGCGTATCCTCGATTTATTGATCACTTACTGTAGAGGGAAAAGGAACGAAAGCCGATGCATCGCATCTAATATTAATAAAGATTTTTCGATATCAATATTTATGAAATCTCGTGATCGCATTTAGCTGGTATCTCACGTTTAACAACGTAAGTGTCCGATGAATTGTAGTTGGACGTGTACACACCGTGCGCACGTTCGTGTATATATTTTTCGACGATTTCACCGTCTCCCCCTGTCCCCGCTGAGCCACTTAAAAGCCTGCATATTGTATTTACCCGCGAGTTTCGGTGCTCTGAAATTCCATACGTCGCGTGTATCGGTTTCCAATACTTCTTTGATGAGGCTGATTTTCATAACGCGGATTTCTAAGGGAATCGAGAGTATCGGGTGACGCACACGTAACCATTTCCCGCGAACAATTTATGCATAAGCTCTTAGCGACGGCAGACGAAACGTGCCATTATCGAATTGGGATTTTATACTGTTAACGACAACTTAAATATTCTGGCAATCCCTGTTACGCTTCCACCGCCTTCAGAATTTAATTAAATCGGTTAAGGTATCGACGAAATGTCGGATCTCCGTGCGCGTTCGGACATGCATGTACCAACCAATAGAAATTCTTAATGCTCGCCTGTTTCGTATTCGCATAAAATATATATATTTGAGTTGCTTCTGGGTAGATTGTATGTTCAAATATAAATTATTTCAACATTTGTCATTCTAATTGCAACGAACAGTTAACTATTCACATAACACTGTACATACGTCTGTGACAAAATACTCTGACGATTATAATTCCATCAATTCAAATTTTTATCAACAATCTCGCACGAACATAAATCGTAAAATTTCATATTCCAAAGGTTAAACATACCATTAAATCTACAACCATTGTAATAACTGTTTGTCGATGATATTTCTTCATAAATCTTTCCCATTACTGCTACGAACACAACCGAGAAACACAGCCCCTAATTAACATCACACTCCAGACTTTAATCGCGATGAATTCATGAATTTACCGATCCTTATTTGAACAGGCGTTATATTCCGCGTCGCTGATTAACGATATACATATTTAATCAGCCAGATACGCATACATATTTAATCATATTGAAATGAAACAGTATACTCACTTTCTGTATACCAGCAATGTTATTATTCCACCGATTTATGCGAAATTAGTACGAAAATCGTATAAAACCGACGTACCAAAGCGTGCAAGCATTAACGCGAGTGAAAGTAATCGGTAACAGGTGAACGACAGCGATTAACCCTTTACACTCGTGAGGTGACTCTCAGTCGCCGCTTGATTGGCGCACTAAAGCCAACTAGACTAGTATTTAACGTTGAGCTTCGTATAATGCCTCGGTACGTGAAATATTGCTTCCGAAGAATATCGTGTTTGCGTTGTCAAGAAATGTTAAATGCTTCCAGCGAGAAGCTTCCGAGCGCGAAGGGTTAATTAATCGTGTTCACTCGTGAACGTGCTCGGTCCGGCGAGCTTCCCTAGCTCGGCATCGGACGCGTCTGGACCGTTGGAATTTCGTTTCCGCGTTTCCGATTCGTCGCATCGATCCCGGAGCGGCTTTCGTTGTCCGCGGAATCGGCGGGCTACACGTTGGAACGTTACGAATCCATAAAATCAGCAGTCTAGTGCCACCTAATTCCAAGCGATGGCTATAAATCGCAACAGTTTCGTAATTTACGAGAGCGAGTTAATGCCGGGCCGCCTAACTTCGGCGGCAACAATGGTTAGTTAAGCTGCGCCCCGTCGTCGTTTTATTGCGCCCGGTGGCAGCGCGGGGGACTCGCACGACTCACCGTATATGCGCAATGATTGGTTACCTCGATAGTGAATCGACCCCGAAAGCGACGATTAAGGAGGCGACTATCATGCAGCACAAATAAATGCCGCAGATCAAGTGGATTCTGTCTTCCGGCGGACGTTCCAGCGTCGGACCCTCCGCGTCGCCGGATGTCGCGCCGCAGAAGTTCGCTCCGCACGTTTTCGCCACTATGGTGCTGTTCAGTGTCACGTTCGACGACACTCCGTCCAATCCGTGCGAAAGAACTAGAAGAGAATGGATCTTTGAAGGGGTTAAGAAGACTTTTATCGGGAACTTCGGGTTGGAGTTTCGATATTTCAGGGTACCTTGGTGGACGAAATGTGAAAATAATAGGTTAGGTATTAATTGATTGATAATATGAAGATGTATTTCATCATGTGGGAGTGTAGTTCTTTTCCCTGATAATTAGGTGTTTGGAAGAGAAATTTCAATGTTGGAGTTTTGGTATTAGATTATTCTATCAGTTGTCCTTCGCCACCTTTTTGTATGAAACGATAGCATTCGGATTTATTTTTAATTATCCGTACATTATTGCTTTCCGTGATATTGCGTCAGTTTTGGATCCGGTGAAGTTCAGGAAGCGGTACAAGATTTAACAATCCGAACTCTGCCTCTAAACTATCCTCGTTGAGGCGCAGGGTTGAAACTTGATCTCAATATCTGATTCTCCTAAGCTATTAAATTCCCGTATCCATTCAGATGCCTCGCTTTCGAATAAACTATTAATACATTTAACATATTTCCACTCGGTTTAAATCGAAGCATCCCTTTCGAGCAGTGGAATCGATATTTCTTTAAGAAGAAATGGAACTCGTGTCGGCAGTATTCTTCCCGTGTCTCCCATTGGATTCCCCAACAAAGAGGAACCAGTCAACCACGCTGATCCGTTGTATTCAGAAATCACCGTCGACTGTGATCAACTCGCAGAAAGCGCGGGAAATTTAAACCTCGCCGAAAGTCGCCGGAATTTCGCCTCTGAATCAGCGTCTTTACCTTGCTATTTAGCGTGACAATAGCCGGCGCGCCACGATTTCCCGTTGCTCAGGGAACGTTAAAAGTTCCAGTATCCTCGGATCCCGAAGATCGAGCCGGAAGTCTCATGAATAAACTTCGCCGTTCCCCGTGGGACCGGGCCAGGCGCACATCAATGCGCGGCCCCCGAAAAGAAACTCGTGAGCGAGGCACGCGATACCGACCCAGCCGCCGCCTCTCGTCATTTATTTGGTTCGTTTCACGATTATAGGGAATCGAGGCGTCGCGCCGTGTACTTTGGCGAACTTCGGGGGCAGCTTTATTTATTTGCCCGAGTTCGTCTATTATTATCGAAGCTGCACGATGGAAATAGTTCACTGTATAATTCAGCGAACTATCTTGATCGGAACGGTTCACTTCGGGAGCAATCAAGTGTGGATGCAGTGGAAGTACAAGTTCGAGAATTTCATTGAACGTCGCTGCCGATATTAATTGGAATGCATGAGTTTCTATACGAAGTTTATCGGAGGGGACGAACCGTTCGAATGCAAAGCGAACAATTCAGTTTGTCGCATTTATTTAGCCTTCAGTTTAACCTTCTTTTCTTCGCTCGCTCGCTTTTATTCAAATACAAAGTTAACAATTCAGTTCGACACATTCATTTAGCGTTCACTTTAACCTTCGCTTCTTCGCTTAAACCTTTATTCAAATACAATGTTAACAATTCAGTTTTTGAAATTTATTTAGCGTCCACCTTAATCTTCGTTTCCTGGCTTTAGCTTTTATCTTTGACTCTTATCTCGCTGTATTTCAAACGGAACAAGATACTTTAGTGATAACTTATACTTTCCAAATATCCGACATTTATAAACACAGCCTTCCTGTCGTCTGCAACAGCATTGATTGATGTAGAGTTCGTGGGAAACATCATTTACGTCCAATTTACTCCTAATTGAGACAACTCGTTCTATTCCAGAAGCCGCTCGGATCTCGTTAACATCCCGCTTACGGCGACCGCGGATCGCATTAGCGTGCTCCTCGCCGGAAACTTTTATCAGAGTGAAAGTGAGTCGTCAGTGGCCAGACCGAAGTCAGTTTAATTACTCTTTGCCGGTTCCCTCGAAAACCACAGGCAAAAAGGGTAGAAGCGGCGCTTTTAGCTTTCGCAGCTTAGAGCTCCCGCGTCGGCCGCCTTTCCCCTCCGTTCTCGTCGACTTCCTTCCGGCCCGTCTTGAGGATAAAAGCTTCGATTGCGACGCGATTTCCCGAAATCGAAGCAACGCCGAGCGTTTCGTTTAAAATCTCGAACGGAAGCCGCCGACGGTAAATTCACGGAGGAAACAGCGAACGAGGTGTTCCAGCTTCCTCGCGCGGATTAATTAATTATCCGAACCGGTATTCTTCAATCTTGGAACGGATAGAAGGACGTCCTGTAGACCGCAATTTCGATATCCCACGCTCGTTACGTAATTCCTACTTTGCTCGTGACATTTCCATGTTCGCGGCAACAGTATTCGTTTAAACCCGGTTCACGCCAAGAGAGGCGAAACCTGGGATTACCTCGCCGGGACATTTGCAATTTAAAATTCAGGTTAGGAGGTACAGGTTTCGTCGTGTCCTTAGGATCGTTCGAAATGATCGATCGGCGCGGTAAAACGTTTCGTATGTTAGTCCTGCGTTATAATATTAGAATTATACTTACAGCAGTTTTTTAGGAGACTACTTCATAGTTATATAATCATTGTATCACTACAGTAGAAGTTACATAAGTTTCAACTGAAGATATTGGCTGATCTTCAAAGAATTCAGAAAGCTAGATCATAAAACTTCAATTGCACTAATTGCACTAATTTCGATCTTCACATTTCGAATCGCTTATCCTTCGTAACCTGTCCACAACAACCTCTTTCCCTTGAACACGAACTCCCCAAGAAATTAGCACCTCATTAAACCTCATTTCCCCCTGAATACATAATCAATGACCATAAATCCAGCGTTGAACCTCGACAAACACGAAGCTACAGTTCTACCGTGTGAGGTACACCGAAGAAATTAATCTAGTAAGGATCCGAGTCCGGCGGCAAGTTAGTTTAGCCAAGGTATACGCACCTGCCGAAGATATGAGGTTGCCCCAGACCTGGGCCATCTGGTAAAACATGAAGAACACCCCGAAGAACCTCGTAACCAGAACATCCGTTGCGACGTCCGACAAGGTGGCGTAAGCTTCGGCGGCGACCGTCAAGTAAGTGCACTTCGCGCACCAAAGTGGTCCCGCGCCAATGCCGACCAAGAAGCCGGCCGGTATCATCGTGTAGAATTTTGGGTAAAACTGGGCTGCCATAAAAGGCACGTAAGACAGGATGGACAGGGATATCGTCCATTTACAACCCAGCCAGCTGCAACGAGAGGAACGCGAAGATAAGATTGCTTTTACGAGTGCCAGCAACCACCTACAGTTTCGCCTAGCCTCTGCGAAACTTCCCGTTGCGGGGAGAAGTTTCTCTTTTTTCACTCTCCGCGGTTCTCCCATCTCGCTTCCTCAGCCTCTCTCCCCTTTTCTCTCACGGCGATAGTCGAGTTGAACCGCGTGTCAAAATAATATTTCACCCGCGGGACCGACGGGAAGACGAATCGTCCCCGGGGGCGATATTCTGTAAAGCGGATCGTCCGGCTAATCCACGCGGATTATGCGACACGATAATCTGCCGTGTTATTGGCTGGTCATAAATATCGATCTCCGCGTGCTACGATATTTTCGGGTGCGGTTAAGCGCTAAGCGGATACCGGACAAGAATCCGTCGGTCGTAATTAGCGCGGTAACCGGCGTTTTAATGAACATATTCGACCGATCCGGTGAAGTAATTTACTTAATCTGCTGGTTGTTATTCTGTTTGTGAAATGATTTTTTCTTGATTTAGTCGAGGGTTGGGGAGGTTGATCTTTGTTATTTTATGGAGATCCGTGTAGTAAGAAATTTAGTGTTCGTTTTACTAATTAGAAGGTAATTTTTTCATATGGAATACTTTTGTTTGCTTTGTTGAAGGTTGAAAAATGTTTCTGGATGTTTTTGTCTAGTTTTTACTAATTAGAAGGTAGTTTTTTCATATGGAATACTTTTGTCTGCTCTGTTGAAGGTTGGAAAATGTTTCTGGATGCTTTTGTCTAGTTTTTACTAATTAGAGGGTAATTTTTTCATATGGAATACTTTTGTTTGCTTTGTTGAAGGTTGAAAAGTGTTTCTGGATGTTTTTGTCTAGTTTTTACTAATTAGAGGGTAATTTCTTCATATGGAATATTTTTGTTTGCTTTGTTGAAGGTTGAAAAGTGTTTCTGGATGTTTCGTTTTATGAACATCAATGCGTGTGTATTGACTCTTTATTAGATTAATTTATTAGATTCATTTGGTTTATTAGATTGGAATGATGTTTGTATATTTCGTGATAACCTTTTGTCTCCACAACTTAATTCAATTGTAGCAAAGTATCCTTTCTCAGCTGCCAAGGAAAATTCTGTTGCTCTAAAGTTCAAACCAACTTCCGTACTCTTTCACGGGAAATCGCGCGAAGTTCTGTAAAACTGTAACTTTCTAAAACACAATTCTGCTTGTCGGAGGTTCGCTTTCCTCAAAATTGGATCGTGTCTCCGAGCTTTATGCGCCTTAAACTGTTTCCAGTTCAATTACTAATTGCAACTTCTGTTCTCATTAAAAACTAGGGTTATCTCCGATTTGAATCGCGCGAAGTACGCGTCAATTAAACGAACGAATCGTCAAAAATCTGATAAACAACGATCTTAACTCCTTCGCGTACTATTTAATGTCGCTACTAAGCTCCTGTAACATTTTACTATCGGTAATCTGTAAGAAATGCAATAAAATTTTCTACTTAAAGTGGAAATTTCATTTAAAGTTAATAAACCGTTGTTTACTTTGATCTGTGAGTAATGAATAATATTGATTGTTGTTAACGCTAAAATTACCGAGCAGTTAAATCGACTCTGAAATTCCTCTACAAAAACTCCAAGAGTGCACCTACTGAGACTTTAATTGATTTATAATCCTTTAATAATTTCTTAGAGAAAAATCTATTATCTTTCGAATAATCGCAAGAAGAAGAAATCGGGAACGAGTCATTTCGACCCGTTTCATCACGAGTCTCTCCTCATTGTACAAGGGGTTAATAACAGTTCAGTAACAATCTACGATCCCAATAAAATGCGCGTCACCAAACGAACGCGCGCGAGGCGACAGTGCGAAAGCCAATGTTTCTCCCGAAGTTAAAAAATATCAATCCCCGACAAAAAGGCTTCGTCGGAACGTTAACGGGTCCGATCGGTGTGCGCGGCGCGCGTTGATCACCGGAAGCGTTGCGGGCGGGGGCGGCGTGTCGGATTACGAACCGAGGGGCGAGTTGAAAATTTCATGGACGATAAACTTCAATAATAAAGTTTATTGCCATCGCGTCGCAGCCGGTTTCGAAATACCCGAAGAAATTTCTCACCGCGCGCGCGCTCGGGGCGAACACTTTTTCCGCTGTCAAGATTGTTACAACCGTGTTACGCTTGTTTTTTTTCAACCAAGGGAAAAGGGAGGCGAGACGAGAAGAAAGGAGAAGGGCGAAGAAAAAGTGGCAAGAAGAGATTGCGTGCTCCCTCGTTCCATTTCTCTCGCGAACCCTTTCGCTTTATTTGCGCCCTAAATAAAATGTAACGTAGCGGATTAAAAGATACAAAAGGCAAATGCTCTCCAACCGTTTGACCCTTTTGCTGTAAACGGGTCACGTGTGCTCGAAGCACAATGGCGAGACGCCGGGTCGCCGGGAAGACGCTTTTGCATCTCGCGCCGCTTAAATACCCCGTAACAGCGCGGTGGACCCAACCTGTATCGTTCGTTGCGCGATAATTATAGGCTCGCTCCTGGAAATTCGAGCTACGGCGGGGAACGCGATAAACCACTCTTCCTTGGAATGTATTCCGCCCGGACGGCTTTATTGCGGCTTTCGACACCGGCGTTTCGCTAAATGGCGAGCTTTGCTTCCTCGAATTGTACGAAATCTAAAAAGATTTCGGGACGAGATTGCTGTTACGATCCCCGGGAATTGCTGCCTTCGTGTTTTTAGCGGATTGAGCTTCGAGGCCGAGGAAAGTTATCAGTGGACGAAAGGATTAGCTACGAACACTCTGTCTTGGGAAACGATGCTTTTCAGTCGTTGCGAATGGAACGATGGTAAATTGTTGGAATGTTCCACGTGAGAATACATTCTCGGCTCTAAACGGAATGCTAGGAAGCTGTTTGCAATTTTTCTACTTCGAAAGCTACGTCATCGTCGGTATTATTACCGCAGTAGATACAAACGCAACATGTGAATTCCTTCAGACTCAAATTTATTACCATTGCAAGCGAATATTCCATCAGAACCCGCGATTAGAAAAAACTCAAACATTCAATAGATACAAACATCTCGTCTCTAAAATATAAGAGAAAGTCTCCGCGAGCAAGTTTCTCTCGATTCGAGTTTCAACGATCAACGGAAATCCACGGATGTGTTAACGTTCCCCCCTCGGGCGGGCGAGAGTGAAGGAACAAATGGGAACACGGAAAAAGAGAAATCATGGCGTCGATTACCTGATAATTAGGGTGGGCAAGAATATATTGCTGAATATCAAGCTCCCATAAATCGAGGCGAGCGTGAAGGTTCCCAGGGACTGGTCGGCGTTAATGGAGCTCTGAAGATTAGTGGCGCCCATGAACGCCGTGAAGTTCACCATGAACGCCGCGCCGATCACCAACACGTTCCTCGTGATCCTCCATCGCTCGGACGGCTCGTACTCGTTGCTCTCCGTGTGGATTTTCGCGAACTCCCCGACGGTCTCCATTTTCTCCAGCGACATGTCGAACTGTTGGCGAACTTTCGACTCGGTGCGCGAGGCGAAGCAGGTATCGTTGTCTCGCGCTCGGACGATCGCTGCGGCGGACGCGTGGAAACGCGAGAGATCGTTTCACGCGCCGGGAACGAGGGTCCCGCGCCGCATGATGCAATATATTGGTCCGAGCGATTGAAATATTACCGCGATAGCCGTCGCTCGAGGATCCGGCGGCAGTTTATCGATGGCTCTCGAGTGTCTCGAGCGACTTTGAGGGACGACCTGTTAACGATCCTTCGCCGTTGGCTCGCCAATCGCTGACAAATGTACGGACCGTTTCATAACTATGCTCGCCGTGGCTGCCGATGCTCGTACTCGCGCTGGAATTGCTGTAATAGAGATTGTGGTCAGACTCTGATTGTTGTGACGCTGAGAGTTTTTGGTATGATATTTCGACGGAAGGGGAATTGGAATTTCGAATTACTCGACTGCGATCGGCGTGAGGTATTGAGAGCTTTCGGCGTATTCTGGTGAAAAGGAATTGGACTTTGTGATTGTTTGTGAGATTCGTGGGATATCGAGAATTCTTGGTATATGGTTTTCTGATGGAAAGAGGGTTCGAGATGATTAGTAATTCTCGTTCGGTACGGGGAATTTTTGGTATATATTACTGCAGCAGAGAGTGAATCAGGATTTGAGATGATTAAACTGTGACTGTCAACACGTTGAATGTCGCAGGATTTTATAGAGTATGTTAGGACAACAAGGGGACAATTTTACGACACGGGAATTATTCTTAGAGACGTTCGTGACCATCAGCTTTCCGTCCGGTACTTTAGCAGGCCGGTCTGCAGCCAATATGCGGCACATAAGGGTTCAGCGTAGAAATCAACCATTGTCTAGTTTTTTCACTTCAGTCCAGGTGTCGTAAAGTCGTGCTCCAGAGGGTCTGTTAGAATTTTAGAAAAGGTGTCCTCAAGGATTTTGACCTAATGGAATTTCCCCAGCGTTGCCAAACATTCGTTCAGCATAGCGACCAACTCCGTCACCCTCGCTCCAGGAAATCCGCGCTACAGGCGGACTGGAAGGGGATGAGACAGGGGTAGGTGTCTTGCGTAGGAAGGGATAGAAAAACCGCCCCTGAGGCCCACCTTCGTATATCGAGAGGGAGGGAGTAGGCCCAGGATCAGTATAAAAACCCTTCGAACAGGCAGAAAAAAGTTCAGTTTGACAGTCGGTATAAGTATCAGTTCAGAATCAGTTCAGTCAAAATCAGTACTGGTTCAGTTCAGAGTCAGAAGTAGTTGAGAATCAGCTCAGCTTCAATCAGAATCAGTTTAGAATCAAGTCAGAATCAATTGAGAATCAGCTCAGCTTCAATCAGACTCAGTTTAGAATCAGTTGAGAATCAGCTCAGCTTCAATCACAATCAGTTTAGAATCAAGTCAGAATCAGTTGAGAATCAGCTCGGCTTCAATCAGAATCAGTTTAGAAACAAGTCAGAATCAATTGAAAATCAGCTCAGCTTCAATCAGACTCAGTTGAGAATCAGCTCAGCTATCAGTCAATCAGTCATTTAGTCCCAACATTGGGTGGTCCTTCGAAAAACACAGCATATACTCAAAAGTGCTCGTGACAATCGGAGTACTTTACAGAGTAAAATACAGAAAATGGAAGAAATATAATATTAAATGTCAGCTGAATGTCGCCGCATTGGGTAGCATTATTTACAACATACACATGTCTTCAAATAATCGTCGTTTAATTGAGTGAACTATAGTAATTTGATTTGATTGGAATTCAACGCGTTAAATATAGTGAACCTTTCATACACAGTATTTAGATAGAAAGAAAGTTACGATTTCCACAATATGAAAAGTAGAGCCAAGAAAGTTGAAATAGACCTAACACGAACTTAAATTTCATGAAATCTATGAAATTGCAGAAGTCATCATACCAATAGTACCGGAATATCCATTTTGACCACGAGGAACATTAATGCACGACACCACCAAGAAAACAAAAACATGAAAGTACGAGAACTACTTAACACAGTACTATCTTAATTAATTCAAGGTACCTCATGGATTATTATCTAAAATAACTCGTAGTCGCAATCTTTCGCATAACTATCGATAAACATACCATGTACAGTGCAACTGACGTGCGCGGGCCGCATTCAACGGGAATTTCTAATTACAAACGACGCGGCCATCGAGATCGCGTTTCCTGATCGATATTTAGTAATTTATCCCCTCATCACGGCGATTCCATCTCGGGCCGGCGCGCAAGGGACATTTTAATCAGCGGTAATTCCCTTACCTTTCCATCGCGTGCCAATAATAATGCCTACGTCGGCATTCGATCAATTCGACCTGTTGTACCGCGTATCAATTGATCTGTTTACAATTTACCTTCGCGCTGCAAGCTGCACGAAGGGCAGTGCACTCGAGGACACAGGCTCAGCTCGCTGAATGGCGGGGACGAATTTATCTTGGTGAACGACCGTCCCGGTTACGTTGACTCGCGCTGCAACGACACACGATACGACGTGTCAATTACCCGCACCTTTTGCGCTCTGACAGTTGATCCATTCTCCACGCGTGCCTCGATCGGAAACTTTATCTACATCTCGAATGGTCTAGCAAGTGGTTTACGGTCGAAACAATGTTTACTTTATTCAACTGGAATTGTATAAGGTTATTTTCATCGGCGCGATACTAGATCTGTATCGGACAGATTATCTTTATTGTAAGGCTTTCGTAACCCGGAAATGTTGATTTATTTGATCACTTCGTGAAGTAATAGGGAAGTGTCAGTAATTATTGATAAGTCCATTGTTCTTGAGAAATATTGTGAACGATTTCCAACTGAACCTGTCTGATCGAAGTGGTTTTAGAAAGTATTAAATGTTCGTCGTAGTAGTTTTATTACCTTCGTTAGGTAGATTGCGCAGTATTAGAACTGTGTCGGATATTGAATGACAAATTTCGAATTACCATAGGTTCTGTATCAATACTTCGATATAACAGATTCAATGCAGATAGAGAATTTTATTTATTTCATCTAAAACAATCGAAGTGTCGAAACATTGAACAATATGAGAAACGAAGATTCGTATTAAATATGAAATCACGATGCAAAGGTTTTAATTGGAAACGTTCGGTTCTCAGTACTCGACCGGATGTTTATTCACTCCACAGTTAAAGTCACTAACCTGTTCGCGTTTAGTAGACTCGATCCCGAGGTTCGTTGGCACCGTTGGTTCCCCCGAGCATGATTGATAAGAGAGAATCGTGGGAAGAATGCCGACGACCCGACGGTAGACGTTGAAAAATGTAGAATGACCGCGAGTGAAGGGAAACGAAGATTCTCCGAGGAACCGCAGAGTAGAAAACCGCCCCTCCGCTTCGACGAGAAGTTACGTTAATTTCGCTGCGAATAATGCACACGCCGAGACACCTTCGGGCACTTCGTACGTAATTTCAACCGTGCGGTGGCTCACTGGCTTTTTCTACTTCGACCGGCACTTCTCTCGCGGGCCGTCCCGCCGAATTGCTTTGGAATTAATGATCCCCCGTGATATACAAGCGCTTCGCTCTCGTTAAGGTACTTTAAAACTTGTCCCTCTGCCGCGAAGAAAAGGCGTCTTATTACGACTATTTATCGCGGAAGTTCAAGCTCGTGAAACCAATTTATTCAAATTAGGGCAATTAATTTCTTAAAAAGAGAATTGCATGGTTCCTTTCTTAATTTATACGTCCACTGTAATGAACTACGAACGTCTAACGTTTCATATTCGTCGTAGTTCGCGCGTTGATGCAAAACAGAAACATATATAAACATTTTAGCGTACTGGAATTCGTTGCTTCTGTTTTAAATTTACCGAACTCCTATATCATTTCGAAAACGACGCAACGAAAACTGTTTGCTTGTTTTATCAGTTTGTAGATATCTGCACGGAGAATGAAATATTAGCTCCTCCAGTTTTTTACGAGTCGACGATTTATATTTTGCGATCAAAGTTTTATTATTTTTGCAAAAAACAGATCAATGTAACCGAAGCTGTGTTATCTGTGAAATGGAGCAAACGAGTATCTCGTAAATGCATTTACATTTATGAATGTTCAGTTGAAATTTCATCGTGGACTGTATTGGTAATTGG